TTCGTCAAAAGAATTCAATTATTTAAAAATTTGTTGATAAAATTCTTTATAAGAATTAAATTTTAAAGATCATTCAATTATTCAATAAATTATATATGTTTGTATTTAAATAATTATTAAATAATTTTGAAAAGGTTTCAAATTAAAATATTTGAAAATTTGAATTTTCTATACTTTTAACTGGCAATTCTGAAGATATAATTTTTTTGAAATAGTTTAATTTAATTTTTTTTTGAATTTGAAGTTTTTATATTGAAAATTCTCAAAGAACTTTTTAAAAAATTATTAAAAATAATTAATTTCGAGAAGAATTTTAGTTAAAAATTCTAGAAAATAATAATTAAATTGAAATGATGAAAATATAATTTTTCAGAACTCACAGTATCAATATTCTTAATATAAAATAATGATAATACTTTTATAAGTTGTTTAATTTCAAAAAGGTTCGAATTTGAAATTTTTGAAAATCTTAATTCCTGTGGAAAATGTTAATAAAATTACCCAAAAGAATTCAATTATTTAAAAACAATTTTAATAATATTGTAGGCAAACATTTAATTATTTTCATAAATAATAAAAATTTCACAGAAATTCAAATTTTTACAAATTTTTTATTAGTTTCTTCTAGATAATTCAATATTAATTTCATAAATAATAAAACTCGAATCGCAGATTTTCAATGGTTTTTAATACAATTTTAATCAAATTTTTTGCAAAATGTAACTATTCTAAAAATGTTATTAAAATTCGTCAATAGAAATAAATTATTTTAAAATTTGTTAATAAAATTCTTTTTAAGAATTAAATTTTTAAAAATATTCAATTATTCAATAAACAATTTACTTTTGTATTAAAATAATTGAATTCTTCTAGAATTTTCTAACAAAAATTGATTTGAAAATGAATTTTAGTTTAAATTTTAGATAATAATAGAATATGAATTTGAAAGTTTTGAAAATCTTAATTTCTGTGGAGAAAATAATAATAATAATAATTTAATATTTATTTAAAAAAGAAGCAAATGAAGATTGAGAATTTTCTACAAAAATATTAAAAAACGGAATAGGGTCAGTTGGGGTAAATAGAAACAAGGGGTAAATCGAAACAGTAGTATATACTGCCACTAATATTGACAAACGGAAAATGAGAAAATGCTTAGAACCTGTTGGGGGTGATCTAAGCTTCAAGGTTTAAGGTCGTAATTATTAAAAAAAAATTTTTATTTAACTGAAATAACTACTGTTTCGATTTACCCCAACTGACCCTAGTGTTTTTTTTACCCAAATAAAAGAATCAGTTTGTAAATAATATTGTTATTGAGAAATAAAAGTATTTAATTTTAAGATCATTAAGATTTAAATTTAATTTTAAGACCAAATGTAAGTACATTAATCTAATTAATTAAAAGGTTTTAAAAAGTAACTTTTCTTTACAGAAACGTACAAAAAAGATTATATTTTAATAAAGTAAGAAATAATTATTTAAATATTAAGCAATGTTAAAATAAAATATTTTTTTTCTCTTCGAAAGAACTGGGCCGTTGTAAAGGGACATGACAAAATACTGAAACTTTCATTTATGAGGCTGTTTTATTTCCGGCAGTGTCCACCCGAAAGTGTTACAATTTTGAAACATTATTGAAAAAATGTTCGACGATATGAAATTATCGTTCAGTTGACATCATTTTTTTTCGCTCCATTTCTTAAAATATCATTTCCTTTTTATAAAGTGAATTGTACAATAATAAAAGTACAATAATAAAACGAAAACAATTAAGTAAATAATATAAAATTGTTTTTAAAATTGTTTTCAATCAAATATTAGTTAAATTTAATAATCAATTTGTTTCTAATATTACTCACTATGTGGATATAGTATTATTAAAGTGTAAAGTAAAAGTTGATGAAATGTGAGTATATATAGTAAAGGAAAAGTTTTTAAAACAATAATTAAAAGAATTTCAAGGGAAAAAGAAATAGACCCTAAAAATAGTTGAAGCTTTTTTTAAAAAAAATATTTATAAGAAGTCGTTGAGCTATATGTGTATATTTATGCAAAGCAATAACTTTCCATTTACATTGGACGTATGTAATTTTTCTATGCAATATGTTCGTGACCTTGAGACAATAATGCTTTTCTTCTAGCATCATCGTGGAGAATACAAATTAAACCCCCCCTTTGACCTCAACGGTTTCAGCGATTTATTTCACTCTTTCCCAGAGGATTTATTCTAACCTTTATGATTTCGACAAATATTGTCATACACAAATATTTATTTTTCAAAAACCACACACGTTTCTCTGTTGAAAGTCAAATAAATATCATGCTCCAATGATTATCGATTTATGTATTCAGTATATTTTTATTTACTCTCGACTATATAATGGAATAAAATAAATTTTTTTTGTAGTATTAAGTATTTAATTATTGTTTAAAAAAATTATATTGTTATGGTTAATTCGTAACTAAAAATTCGATGTTGCTATTAATAAGTAAATTCATTATTTTTCATAAAAAGGAGGTTAAACTTCATAGAAAGGGAAAAATTAGTTTTTCGCAACTATAATTGGGAGACAATTAAAATCGAAACATGCATTTTAAGGTTAAGCGAATTCCAATTAGTTTGTTTACATTAAAAAAAAAATTACGAAATGATCATCAGATTGCTCAACACAAGTGTGGTGCACCAAAATTTTAAGACTTAAATTATATTATACTACGGTCTTTCATCGCCATCCGTGCTCTGAACTGGATATATTTTAGCGGATGGTGTCAAAGTTTTTTTTAAATAAATATTTCAAATTACACTGGAGCGTCAAACGAGTCCACGTCAATCCATTGACGCTCCAGTGTAACTCATTACTAATAATACTTTGTACATTGTGTTTACAAACAGGGGGTCGATTCTGTAACCTTTCCACTTTCACTTTCGCCTCCCACTTTCCATTTCAAACTCCCACTTTCCAGTTAGCACTCCTACTTCCCACTATCCACTTTCACTTTCACTTCCTACTATCCCCTTTCACTTCTAACTTTCCACTTCTTCACAGTAAATTGTGAGGTATTAAAAAGCGTTGCAGATTAAATTAACACCAAAAAGATTAAAATAATCCATTTTTGTGTTATTTTATACTACGACTAAAATTTTACTTAGAATCAAAACCAAGTCAACGATTACTAATTAACTTCGTTAGAAACTAACTGATTAACTTATTAACTTAGTAACTTACTAACTTAGTTACTTACTAACTTAGTTACTAACGTACTAACTAACTTACTGACTAAAATACTGACTAATTTACTAACTAATTTACTAATTAACTTACTAATTTACTAACTAACTTACAAACCTAATTACTAATTAACTTACAAGTTATTAACTAACTAACTTACTTACTTAACTTAGTTATTAACTAACTAAATTACTTACTTAACCTAGTTATTAACTAACTAACGTACTTAACTTAATTATTAACTAACTAACTAACTAACTTACTTACTAATTTTCTAACTAATTTGCCAATTTAATTACTAATTAACTTACAGACTAAATTACTAACTTACTTACTTGACTTAGTTACTAACTAGTTAACTTAGTAACTTACTACCTTACTAAGTTAGTTTTAAGTAAGTTAGTAATTTAGTAAATTAGTTTATTAATAAACTTACTTAGTTACTTACTACCTTACTAAGTTAGTTTTAAGTAAGTTAGTAAGTTAGTTAGTAAATAAGTAAGTTTGTTAGTTAGTAAGTTAGTAAGTTAGTTACTAACCAACTATTGTCCCTGGTGAAGCTAACTTACTTACTAATTAACTCACTAACTTACTTACTTAACTTAGTTACTAACTAACTTACAAACTTAATTACTAATTAACTTACTAACTAACTTACTTACTTAACTTAGTTACTAACTAACTTACAAACTAAATTACTAATTAACTTACTAACTAACTTACTTACTTAACTTAGTTACTAACTAACTTACTTACTTAACTTAGATACTAACTAACTTACAAACTTAATTACTAATTAACTTACTAACTAACTTACTTACCTAAGTTAGTTACTGACTAAGTAGTTAACTTATTTACGAAATAACTTATTAACTTATGTATATATTTAGTTACTTACTACATTACTAAGTTAGTTGTAAGAAAGTTAGTAATTTAATAAGTTAGTTTGTTAGTCAGTTAGTAAGTTAGAAAGTTAATAAGTTAAATAGTAAGTTAGTAATATAGTAAGTTATTTAGTACCTTTTACCTTTTTTACCTTTTTTTTAGTTATTTAATACCTTACTAAGTTAGTTGCAAGTAAGTTAATAATTTAATTAGTTATTTAGTTAGTCAGTTAGTAAGTTAGCAAGTTTGTGAGTAAGTTAAGTATGTTAGTATGTAAGTTATGTAAGTAAGTTATGTAAGTAAGTTAGTAAGTTAGTAAGTTAGTAAGTTAGTAAGTTAGTAAGTTAGTAAGTAAATTAGTAAGTTGGTTAGTTAGTAAGTTAGTGACTAACTAACTATTGTTCCTGGTGAAGCTAATTTTGTCGAATTTTGTCAAATCGTTGACTTGGTTTTTGATTTAAAGTAAAATTTCATTCTTAGTCAAAAATAGTACAAAAATGGAATATTTTAATCCTTTCTGGCGTTAATTTAATCCCAGAGGAATTAAAATGTTGCAGATTATTTGAATCCATTCTGGTGTTATTTTAATACCTCACGATTACTACTGAATGGAAAGTGGGAAGGGAAACGTGTGAAATAAAAGTGGGAAGTGAGAAGCAGAGTGGTAAGTGGGACATTAGGAGTGAAAAGTGAGAAGCGAAAGAGTTAGTGGAAGATAGAAAATGGGAAATTAGAAGTGGAAAGTAAAAGTGGGAAGTAAGAAATGAAAGTGGTAGTGGAAAGTGTAAAAGTTACAGAATCGACCCCCAGGTATTTACTGTAATACATTTCTTAGTTAAAAATGATATTTATTAAATATAGAAAAAAAAAGAATATACTCACACAGTGAAGTGATAGATGAAGCACAGCCAACCGCCCGGATGTTCAAGGAAGACGTAAAGTCTTTCCTGAAAGGTTTTCCCCTTTTTATGATGGAACACATATTTTGCCTTAAAGGCTTGATCAATGGGAAGATAAATTGGATAATAGGGATCGGGAACGCCAACTTGATCCGGACTCGGTGGCTGTTCCTCCTGTCCATTCTCATTGTTGTCGTCCTTATTTCGTCGTCGACGATGCTTTCGCCTCATTGGTGTTGGAACACGTTTATGATGCGTCTCACTAAATCGGGGTGAACGAAATCTACGCAGGAAAGTGAACTTCCGCGGGGGTTCATCCATTGGCGTTCCATTATCGGTATCCTCAGTTTCACTACCGGGTGTTTTCAGTGCCACATCCTCTGATTCACCAGCGACGAGCTCGTCTTCGCTGCCTTGGAGGGCAGCGTAGGCGGCCGCGGCGCTGTATCGCTTCTCTGTCAGCCTAGAGCATTGGTCCTTGCTTTGTGGAAGACTGTCGTTGTAAGCGCGACCTGGTAATTCCAGGATTTGAGAATTTGTTGTTTTGTTTCGAAATGTTTTTAACGAAAAAAGAAATTGGGAATATTTTTTTATGGCAATAAATTTTGTTGGTGAAGTGTGAAAAAATGATAAAGTGTGTGAAAGGATAAAGCGGATGGACTAGCCAAAGTAGGTGCTAGGGAACAATTTATTAGGCCTGAGCATCCTATTGGTGTTTCTGATAAATGCTTGGCCCTGGAATTCAAACACTTGCTGACAGCAGATCATCAAAAGGAATGGCTAAAATGAAAAGGAATGTTTATTGAAACATAGACATAACATAGGGATTGAGGAAGATTCTCTACTTTCCATAGTAGTTAGCCTAGGCAGCGTATCATCAAGTTTATTGTTGATGCTTGACATATTTTTCGACATGAAGGACAAGTTGTTAAACACTTTTGTTGGTAAATCCTTAATAGCTGTCATATTACTATATAGAAGGGCAACAACGCTTTGGTGGTACCAAGAATTATCTTAGACAGAGTAGATAGAGGAAGTACGAGCAGTGTAACAAGTCAAGTCAGTTGCATTTCTGTCTTCAGCAACGCATCTTAACTTGACATCGTAAGCTGCAATGAGAACAAGGACAAATGCATGAAACTGCGAGAAGAGTAGGTAGTATGCTTTGATATCATTGCAGAGGAGGTCTGCAAGATGCTAAAGACCTGCGAGGTGCAGAAAAACGTCACTATTAAGGAGGGACTGAAAAGTCTAAAATCGCTCATTCAGGAGGTCAGGGAAAAGCATAATGAAGCGAAAAAGACAGACGAACGTCTTTACTAGGATTTAATCTGAGCAGAAGAGGCACGACATGACCGAAGACGCAGAAGAGACAGGTTCAACGCATTTGCGTCTCAGAACGTTGCTATTGCGTCTCAGAAAGGAGATTGAGCAGTCCTGAAACGGCGACTGGACAAAAGAAAAAGAAGGAGGAGGTGAAACGTTCTAAACCAACGCATCAACGCTACCACGAAAATCAACAATGATTGTCAAGGTAGCTAAAGAAATTAGTTTTGCTGGTGGTAAGGAAAAGTTCACCGAGGAGGTGACAAGGATAGTAGGAGAGCTTGGTAAGGTGCATACGATGGATGGAAAGGTCACACTGGAGATCCGTAACCTGGATTGCTATCCAAAAATTTGTGAAGATTAGAAATTAGCTGCAGAAGACAATGACCTAGGTTTACAGCATCTAGCGAACGACCCATCAGGCAAAGTAGTAATGAAACTAAAAGCACTACACTTATTTTTGTGTTTCTTCTATGTGATTAGGAAATGACTTTAGGAAATCTATTCCTGTCATGATGGATCCTAATCACTAAGCCTACCTGACCCTCGTGGAAATCGTCATTACGACTTTCTTATAACTTAACAGAGTTATGGATTTTTTTGAGTATTGATTAATACTCCTGGAATTAAGTTCTATCAATGTCAGAACTTTAGCTAGCAGTTTGGTAAAGTTTCTTTACATTTAAAGATAAAGCATCACTCCCGGAAGAGGTGACAAAATCTGTTAGAATTCTCCTAACAATGGGGTACGTCCCTAAATTTAGACGACGATATCAAATGGTATTATCTCATGTTGGGTCATCAACGGGAGAGATAGAAAACTTTAACACACTCTGATAGACCAAATAACTTCTAAGTAGTGGTCAAGCCTTATCCATAAATCTTCAATTTTCCTTGAGTGCAGATATATGTTTCCCCTAGATTTATGGTATAAGTGTAGAGAGTAATTATCAGCAGAGTCGACCTTCGAACCCTCAAGGATGATCTTGAAGGTGTTAATGCAAGATCCCCCTTAGCTGATAAATATAAATTAGATTTTAGTAGCTTAATATCCCCGTTTACGGTGGAACTAATTTTCACATTAAAAATAAAACTCCTGATAGGACAACATGCATATTTATCTACAATCGAAAATTTTGGGGAGGATAAAGAGTTTAGTGGGCAAACTTGGTTGAAGCTCATTGTTATAGGAATTATGTTTTATAATTATCACTAATTATAAAAACGATATCAGATTTTAAGAATTCAAAATGGCGGATCTAATATGGCGGACGCAAATATTGAAAATGTAACGGATCTGCTTTAAATTTATTACTCGGGGGTTTTTGGGGTTACAGATTACGAATTCAAAGTCAGATTTTAAAAATTAAAAATGGCGGATCCAATATGACCGAAAAATATTTAAAATCTATAGAATTTGATTGAAATCTGTTACTGGAGGGTTTTTGGGTCGCTGTTTACGAACTTAAAGTCAGATTTTAGGAATTCAAAATGGCGGAACCAATATGGCGGAAGAAAATATTAAAAAACTAATGGATTTGCTTAAATCTTATTACTCGGGGGATTTTGGGGTCGATGATTACAAATTTATCATCAGATTTTAAAAATTCAAAATGGCGAATCTAATATGGTAGACAAATTTACAAAAATTTAACAGATTTGCTTGAAAATCGATAGTCGAGGGTTTTTATTGCCGCTGATTAGAAATTTATCATCCGATTTTAGAAATTAAAACAACTGCGATTTGATAATAATTAAGAAAGGTTTTAAAAATTTTTTAAATTTACTTGAAACCTGTTAATCGCTGTTTGAAAATCTGACATTAAATTTGTGATGCTTCCTGTGTGGAAAGAAATAAGTTGGCATGGAAGAATGTTAATGGAAATGAAGGGGGAATTAATAAATAGAAAAAGGGAGAGTTTTAGTAGTGGATTAGTTGTTGTTATTCAAAATCATGATAGGAAGAGAAAGGGAGTATATAAGCTGATGTATTATAAAAATTAAAAATTCGAATCAAAATCCATAATATTTGTGTTCTCGAAAAATCATTTCAAAAGCGTGTATTTTACAAAGCGTTTAAATTTTCCTTGCGTGCAAGTGTTTCATTTTTCCATAAAATCGTCTTATCGAAAATACTTTTCTATATTAAGAAAGAAAATGCCAAACTGATGAAAAAAACTCCAAAGGAAATTAATATTTCACATTAATTTCCCAGTGCTTTTTTTGGTGAAATATTTTCTAAAAGACGATTTTCTTTCAAAGAAAGCAAAGACCAATGCTGAAATACTCCAACTAGGCAACTGACATTTAAAATTTCTATTTTTTTCAGAAATGATTCTTTCTTCTCGTAGAATAATTTTTATGCGCTCTTTTATTTTGTAATATGAATTAATTTTCGATGTTTTGTTTTATTTTTGCGAAAATCAATTGTATTTAAAAAATATTGATTAATTAAGTATTGAATTTTTCCTGTACACTTTAATTTATCTTTAATTAAGTTAATAATAATAATTTTACATTATTGGACTAAAAAGTAATGCACGAATTTCAATTTAATTATAAAATGCATTACGTTATTAATCTCCAAGTATTCCAAGAGTTGAAATAACGTTGTCAGTTTAACTAAGTAACTAGAGTTTCAGTTTATTTTAAAGGAGGAAAAACAATAACAGAAAAATGAATAAGAGTATAAATATTATGAATTGCAAGAGAAATTATTCTTGGAACTTAATTTGAAAATTTAATTTTTTTATCAAGTATAATTGTGCAATGTTTTTTTTAATTCTATCCTTACTTTTTATTATTAACTTTAATATGGGATTTAATAATAAATTTTTCCATTTAAGTTAGTATAACAAACATTTACTTAACAAAAATGTAATTAATATAAATTAAAAATATAAAAATTGATTCCGTTTTTTAAAAAAATAATATTTATTACAAAGAAGAAATTAACTGAAGCATAAGTTCGTTAGTGTATTTAATTTAAGCTTATTGTGTATTATGGGGAATTAAAGTTAAATTGAATTTAAATGCTTAAGAAAAAAAAAGTTCAACGATTAGACATAATTCCTTTAATGAACCTCTTCATATTTGAAGAGCTTTTCTGACCACATGAGGAGAGGAATTCTTTAAAGGGGATTCTCCAGGGATTATCAAGTTATGCAGAATTATAAGATTTAAATTAATAATTATGATATTACAATTTTTTAATTTTCAGAAACAATGATTAAAAATGATTAAAAATGTTTTGTAAGAAAAATTTTGATTACAGTAAAGATATAATTTTACTTTTCAAAAACAAATTTTTTTTCATTTGCAAATTTCTCCTTAAATAAATGAATAAATCCGGAAAAAAATCTAACTTGAAATTGATATAATAAATATAAATATTAAATTAGCTGTCACTCTGCCAAACCCCTGATAAGATTTATGAAACATGGATCTAGTGTTGCCCAACCCTCGCTATAAATTTTCATAACTTTTTTTTCCCCCTTAAGATAGAAAATATGGTTTTTTATTTATTGATTTCGTTTACCTTATACAAGAGCTGGATTAAAAAAATTTTTCCGCTGTATGTACACAGTTTTCAAATATTTTTTAATTTTTTTTCTATTGACAAACAGTTTTGAAAAGCTTTAACAAAAAAATTTTTTTTTATGTTTTTTACATATATTCTCTTTGGCTTTTATACTTTTTATGCAAACATTTATTTTAACTCTATGAGAAATTCTGTTTTTTTTTTGGAGAACTGACAAAAAAGTTTAGAAGAAATTTGTGAAACTTGTAAATTTTTTTAATCACTTACAAAATTTTGTCAATGAGAAAAAAAGATTTATTTCTCCTTTTTCTAAAGTTTAATTCTAGTACTAAATTATTAAATTAGAAATTTAAGAAAAATTACAATTAACATCAAATTTTTCTAAATTTTTGTAAAAAGTATAATAAGTAATTTCTTTGAATCATAAACACAGGTCCATAAAAAAATTGATGAGGGGTTCCTTCTAACAAAACCTGTTGAATTATATTTTTTAGGGTCGCTGAACATAATCCTAAGCTCCGTTTTGCTCCATTAGGTTGTGATTTTTTTCTAACCCCAAAAACACTTGACAGATCTCACTTGGCGGACAGAATTTTATAAATATTGAAGGATATTTTTAATTTAAAAATCTGACTTCAAATTTGT